CTTTGGTTACTTGGAGCGTGGCAACAAGATGGCAGAGATCATAAAGTGGCGAATTCCACTGTATGGCCAAGCAGCATAAGCCTGAGGTCAAGAGCACAGACTCTGGAGCCAAAGCATCCGGGTGCAAACCCTGGCCCCACCACTTACAAGCCGTGTGATGTTGAGCAAGTAGCTTAACCTCTCTGTGCTCAGTGTTCTTATCTGTAAAATGGAGTTGTAAGGATTGAAGGAGTTTGAAGATGTAAAGTGCTTTAAACAACGGGAGTTGGCACTTAGTGTTTATAGCAATAAATTTGCTACAACTGTAGCAGAAAGAGTGATATGTAAGTGTAGGGTATTGTTTCTTTTGTGGAAAGAACATTGGACTTCAAGGCAGGAGACTTGCAGACTTGACAAGCCACTTAACTTTCTGGAAAATGGAAAACATTATTTTACCTGCCAGTTTAGCTCATGGGGATTTTGCAAGAATCAGATGAATGTCAAAGCGCTTTGAAAAGTGCAATGTGCCATCCATGTGGACAGGTCTGCTGCTTTTATTTTATCTCCATCCAGATATGTTTCTCTCTGTTGGAGAGACCGGTATTGTTCTTGCAGATGAGCCTTCTATTAAGAGGAGGGGTGGGGCTGAAACAGGAGAAAGGCCTGCTTTTTTTTCTTCTTCAAAGAAGAATCTGAGCCCTTGTTATACTCCCTCTGCCTGAGGAAATCCAGCACGTGGTCTCTTTTTCCCTCTTTAGTTAGAGCAAGATCTGTCTCCTTATTCCATCTGTTGTTTGCATCTGTCTGGACTGTTAGATGTCATTATCTTTCCAGAATGACTTCAGAGAAACCTTGCTCATGGCATGCAGGGCAGGAGATTTATCTGTTAAATTATTTGCAGAATATTTAATGCAGATCATGCAGTGATTGAAAGGGAGGCCTGGCCTCAGGTATTATAGGAATTGGGTTACGATGTTAACAATTCAGGACCCTGGTATAAAAATGCCATTTACTCTGTATTGTGATTCCTGAGTTATAGTAAAATATGAAAATTGTGCATCCAAAGATTTACATTATACAAAGCACCTTCCTCTGAAGAGTCAAGAACACTTTGCAGAGTTTGAATTTAAGGTGGTTTGAAGTTTGCACTGTCTTGGTACAGGGGTGTCCTACAGGGGTGACTGTCTCCTTGGAGGCACAGGTCGGGAGGGGGAGTCCCCTCAGGGGAGGGCAGGGGCTCTCATTAAAGGCATGGTCCCACCAGCCTCAAGGTGAAGGCAGCCCAGAGTCAGGGAGTCCCTCTTTAGGGGAGGAGTCAGCCCACCGCCCTCCGCCTTCTCCAACATGTCCTGTTGAACGTCCTGTTGAAGGGATGGAACGGAGACGCCCTGTCCTTGCTCTGGGGTCAGAGATGATCAGTTACACACAGACTCCCACTGCTGTGTGACATTGGCCCAGTTACTTAACCTCTCAAAGCATAAACCAGGAGCACAAATAGCATCTGCCTCATATGATTGTGGCGAAGATTCAATGAGCTAGTTCATGAAGCAATATTGGCCCAGTGCCTGGCACTTAGCAAGCGCTCAATACACAGAAGCTATTATTGTTGTTGTTTTATTCTTCCCCCCTCCCCCACATTCTGTCTTTCTGCTAGAACAAAGGAAGATTTTCTAATAATGGTATTCATGTTAGCACTAGAATGTATGGGCCCCCGAGAGTTGAGGTGTCTTTTGTATTTTACCTTCGGACACAATTGGATGAAGGCAGATAGCCGGCCACTCAGATAAATGTACCGGGTCGGGGAAACATAGCTAAAAGCTAGCTTGCTCTTCAGACTGGCATCTGAAGGCCAAGGACGACAGCCCACCCAACAGGGGATTTAAGGGCTCGAGAAGACCCTAGATACAGACTGGGCAGATGATTTGCACTCAAACGTCCTGCAGAAACTCCAAAATTAATTTACAAAATCCCCAGGTTAGAGGTTGATAGAGGTTGGAGATCCTCCCTTCCCAGGGCCCTGGGGGGGCTGTCTGCTACACCCCCAGGCAGGAGCCATACCTGGTGTCCCCTTTGGGTGCCTTCTGCGTCCACATCCCTGCAGTCGTAGTACTGGGGTCCGCTTTCCTCGATTGTGAGCAACTCGGCGGAAGGGATGGGATCTTACTCGTTTCTGTAGCTCCTTCTTCTAGCACTCGTTCTGGCCGTGGTTGGCCTTAGATCACTCCATCTCCATTTCCTGGATGACTGAATGAATCGACAAACCAATGAATACAACCTATTTTGGAAGGGCTGAGTGGAACGAGTTATTTATCCGATGATCTGGCTGCATCAGGGTCCATAGTTCCAACTGGTGAGTTCGGTAGTTCAGGAGGGGACTTTTCCACTTGTCCCAGCGGTGGGCAGGGCCAGAGTTGGTCTCCTTCTGGGGCCACGTGGGGAATGGCACCCCTGGGAGGAGAGAGAAGGTTTCTAGCAACAGGAGCTGGGAGCCAAAGGGAGCTCCAGGAAGCTGGGGGCAGCTCTCCCGGCCTGGCTCTGTGTGCTCCCGTGAGACTGAAAACTCCTCAAGGACAAGGACTGCGACTCGAGAGGGTCTTGGTCCCCCACAAGTACCCAACAGGCCATGTGCACAGCTCTGAGCGGCATCCCCTAGAGCAGGCGTCCTCAAACTACGGCCCACGGGTCACATGCAGCCCGCCGAGGACATTTATCCGGCCTGCCAGGTGTTTTTGCTGCCGCTGCCTGTCCTGCTTAGCAGCCAACTCATCCGGGGCCCACAGTGCGCATGTGTGGAATGTGCGCCGCACTCTCCAACGGCCCTTCGACGGTCTGAGGGACAGTGAACTGGCCCCTGTTTAAAAAGTTTGAGGACTGCCGGGCGTGGTGGCTCACGCCTGTAATCCTAGCACTCTGGAAGGCCGAGGCGAGAGGATTGCTTAAGGTCAGGAGTTCAAAACCAGCCTGAGTGAGACCCCGTCTCTACTAAAAATAGAAAGAAATTAATTGACCAACTAAAAATATATATACAAAAAATCAGCCGGGCAAGGTGGCGCATGCCTGTAGTCCCAGCTACTCAGGAGCCTGAGGCAGAAGGATCGCTTGAGCCCAGGAGTTTGAGGTTGCTGTGAGCTAGGCTGACGCCACGGCACTCACTCTAGCCTGGACAACAAAGGGAGACTCTGTCTCAAAAAAAAAAAAAAGTTTGAGGACCCCTGCCCTAGAGAGAATCTATTTCTAATTCACACAAAGACACTGTGTGCTCCTACACCGTGCACTTGGCCCAGAAGAGCGCCACCTTCCGATTTTCACAAAGGTACTCCCAGGCTAGGCAACGTCCTGCTCTGTGGATCCGGATCATCTGCTAGATTTCAGCAAGGTAGAAGGAAACAAGGTCTCGTGCTAACCGCCTTCAAAAGTGTGTTCCACGCGTAACACTAGTTTTATGAGATGTTAACCAGGTGGTTCATAAACAAAGAATCCTGTGATCAAAAAATTCTGGGAAACCCTGGGTCAAAATTCAAAAACTTATTTTATTGCAGAACTTCTCGAAACCTCTACCATGCCAATGTGCACTGTGAATTTCTAAAAGGGGACTGAGTAGGGTAACACTTCTCAAACTCACTTGACCATAGAACACTTTTCTGGCTGATGCCACGGCACTCTAGCCTGGGCAACAGAGTGAGACTCTGCCTCAAAAAAAAAAAAAAAAAAATAGAACACTTTTCTACGGTCACTTCCTCCAGGAAGATCTGGTGATCTATAATAGTCACTCTTGGTTGCGAGTGACTGAAATCCAGCTGCACCAGCTAAGGTAGGAAGGAGGAAGGCCTCATCCTGCGGCCCTGGACACAGAGTGCAGAGTGAGGCCGGACCCCAGGGCCGACTGGACCAAGCGAGGCCTTGACCCATCAGGCCCCCGCTCTGCCTGTGACCTCGGCCTTCCTCCACCTGCTGGCTCTGCTCTCCTGCCGAGGGCTGCTTGCTCCGAAATGGCTGGAAACCCGGCTGCTGGGGACTCACTCCCGCATTCACTTTCTCCAGAGCCACCACGAGACTCTGCTGCACTGGTTCTTCCGAGTCCTGGGGAAGGTCCTGGCTTGATCCGAGTCTTGTGCACACTGCGGTGGGGCACTGTGACTGGCATTTTCCACAGGAACCTCAGGGACAGAGATGTGGGTGGAACAGTTCTTTAAAGGAAGGCAGTAGCCGCGCTGCGGGTGTGGCGGTATCGGGCAAGATTCCCTAAGAGAAGGCAGACCCGGTCCCCACACAGGGGCGTGGGTTCGAGGTGGGGGGGCGGGGCCACCGCCGGGTAAAAGAGGACAGCGCTTTGGGAAACACAGCTTGGGGTTTACAAAAGCCCTGGCCCCTCTTCCCGTTTTTATATTATACCAAAATGAGCATCATTTAAATTGAGTTTTTGAAAATCTCATCTCTTTCTGTCCTGTGATTTGAAGTTTTGACTGAGCCTTATATTTTTGCACCTTGGTTTGAAAAATCAACTAATCCGTGGATGAGCTTTTTGTGAAGGAAAAGGTACCTGGTTCTCAGAGCGGTTAGCACACAGCAAAGGGTGGGTCTAGGTTTTTTTCAGGGTTCCCACTGAATCCTGGTATGTAAAACCATCTGGGGTGGGGGAAGGAAAGTGTGTTTTCAGCTAAGTGGAGCCACAAACAAACTGGACCCTTTCAGGTCTTAGTTTAAATACCTCTACTTCCCCTAGGGAATGAGTGACCCCAAGTTCAGCAGGTGTCCCCAGTTTTGGTTTCCTGCTCAGTGGGAACTGTGTGTTTAATTGTGTTTCTTCTCCAGTAGATGAGAACAGGGGCCGCCTTGCATTGCTTCCTATATATCCTCAAAATCAAGCTCAGGGTCTGGCCATAGTAGGTGCTCTGTTGGATCTTAAAGCAAAGGAACAACCTTAATCTTGAATCTTGTGGCCAGTGGCCTATGATAAATGTTTTTGTGTTTTCAGACTCCTATCTAATCAGACTTCCTGATTTCTCTTTCTTCTGGCCTAGAGAACTTCATCAGCTCAGAGTCCAAGGTCCAGGCAACCACCTGGGGACAGTGAGAATATAAAAAGGAAGCAGCAGGACACGCCCGGAAGCCCTGACCGTGGGGACTTGTCCAGGTAGGGGCCGGCTCTGGAGGACGACACAACCCAAGGCCTGGCCAGCTCACTGCCTGCTCCTCCTTTGCTTTGCTCCATCTGCTTTAGAAAATGGACCCCAAAACACATGCTGGGGTCCTCACAGGTGACATTTTTGAGGCAGTGGCTCATGGACTTCTTTGTGACTGGCTAGGCCTGCATGACTGGTAAATTAATACTGTTTTTCTGCCCAAAGATAAAATTAATAATAATAGACTTCCATTCCAGCCATACTCCAGGTTATCTTCATTGTCATAACTTAAAATGTGAAAGGTCAAGAATTCCAAGGGGCTTACTGGGTGAATAATCTGTGGCTAAGTGGGTCTGTGTCCCAGCGTGGGGGCCATTGTGGGCACTGGACCATGAAAACACAGGATTCAGAGAACAATTGCTAAAGCCACCTGAGCCCTCGGTCCCAGGGAGGCTGGTGGATGAATTCCAGAAATCGACTGTGCCAGTGGAACGTGGCCAGTGCTGGGGTGGCCCATCGGTCACTGGTCCTCACTGGTCTCCCCGCCGTGGCTCTCTACTGGACCTCTCCCCATGTGTGCTCCACACCCACAGATTTGGGGGCACACACAAGCTGAGGGCCAGCAGACCTGAGCACTCAGCCCCCGGCAAGACACAGTCCAGGCACAGGGGACACAATTCACAGCTGCTTTGGGCTCAGCTCCCAAACAGGCCCTGGATCTGGTTCCATAAACCCTCCCCAACAGTGGAAGCCCAGATCCCGGGAGTCTACAATTACAGGCCTTAAAGGAGCAAATGATCAGGAACTCCATGAAACAAAAATGCAAAATTGAATGATAGGCCCCTGTCATAGATAGCGAAACTTTGGGTCATGGCGTGCTTCATAATAGCTTTTCACAACCTTAGGAGTCCAAGTGACATTTTTTGCTTCGGGTAAGTATGAGCGACCCCTGGTGGCAGGAATTTCCGTGCCCGGGGCATTATTTTCTGGGTGGCTTGGGCTGTGTTTTTCCAGGGGCGGCACTGGGAACCTCTTGGCAGGAGCTCTAGATTTCTTTAGGGAGATGGCAATCAGATGGGGCAGGGTGTTCTTTTTTGTTTGAGGAATCATCACGCAAGGTTGCCTCAAACAGCACCTTTTTTTTTTTTTGAGACAGAATCTCATTTTGTTGCCCAAGCTACAGTGAGTGCCTTGGCGTCAGCCTAGCTCACAGCAACCTCAAACTCCTGGGCTCAGGTGATCCTTCTGCCTCAGCCTCCCGAGTAGCTGGGACCACAGGCATGCACCACCATGCCCGGCTAATTTTTTCTATACATATTAGTTGGCCAATTAATTTCTTACTATATATGGTAGAGATGGGGTCTCGCTCTTACTCAGACTGGTTTCGAACTCCTGACCTCGAGCAATCCGCCTGCCTCAGCCTCCCAGAGTGCTAGGATTACAGGCGTGAGCCACCACACCCAGCTCAAAGAGCACCTTTGATGCCCTGTGCTCTGCTAACGGTGGCGCCTCCTTTGCCTCCCAAGACTGCCATGGCTGTTCCACTTTCATTAACTTTTTATCAGGGTAACAGGACAGAGGTTTCAATTTTGGTTCTAACTGGACCTGTGAGTTGGCTCTGAATGGCCATGAAACCAGTGGGTGGATTCATCTTTCCTGGACTCCCACACAAGGGAGGCCACTGCTGGCTGAGACCCAGGGGCCCGCTCCTCTCTCTCCATCTTCCTGAGGTCCTGGGATCGCCTACGTGGTCTGGGAATTGTTGGAGGCCCGTGTCATGGCCACGCTGAAGAGTAGCAGCAGCTCAAAGTTCCTTTGTTGCTCATTCTTCAGCTTTAGTCAATTATTATCTTTCCCTTGGAGAAGAATCGCCTCTTACTGGCGTGCAAATCGAGCATGAAGGAGATGCCTTCCAAGAACAAGCCTGAAGAAGCAACTTCCTGTTCACAATTAAAACGGTGTGCATGGCTATAGTGCAGGGCCCGGTGGTGCTAACCACTCAGAACCAGCAGCGGGCACAGGCCTCCTGCTCTCCAGGGTCGGCATCAGTCCTGAGCCCTTCGCCCCCGATTGAGGGCGGCTCCTGTGAGCGCCGTTTCCGTGAGGATAACAGTAATCATTCAACATTGATTTCGCATATGGGTGCCAGACACTACACCAAACGCTCTGTGCGTACAATAGAAAACTCTGTCTCCTTTGAATCAATTCAGTTCCGACTGTGAGTCTTTACTCTGCCAGGCTGGCGGAAATGCCCGTGGCCACCACTCTTGGGACTCCCCTCTCCTGAGCCTGGTGCTTTGAAGCCAGTACCCCCAACCCCCACTGCGGTATTCAGTGACCCAGGTCACACTGCCCCTGAGGCCCTGTGACGGTGCTGCCATCCTGTCACAGTGGGCACGTGGAAATCCTTGGTGAGGCTGGGAGCCCGTGGCTGTTCCCTTAGAGCTGGCCCCTCCCTGCTCACCCCCCTGGGCCTGAGGACACCGTCTGGGAGCAGGAGGGACTCTCAGATGTTCCCCACTGTCCAGGGCCCTTTCTCTGTCCGCTCCTCATCCTCAAAGGCATTTGCCTTCTCCCTCGGCCTCACCAGACAGCCAGCATCTTTTTCTTTAAAGGATATAGGTTTTTGCAAAAGGTAGGAGGAGACAGTGACCTCAAACGGTTTGTTTTCGACTTGTAAAAACCCCAGAGACAGAAAGCACACAAGGGCCCTCAGGGGTCCCTGCTGGGCATGGAGGTGTCGGAAGACTATAGGGAGAAAGGCACACGTTAACGTTCCCAACGATGTCCTGAAGGATGTCCCGCTGCCCGCGCATTATCTCCACGCTACAGATGAGGAAACTGAGGCTTGGAGCATTCCGTAACCTACTTAGCAGGAGGAAGTCCGTTGTTTCCCCTGAATTGCACTAGAACATGGGGTTTCTGCCTCCCCAAAGGGGGTAAGTTCTTCAACTCCCAATGGGGAGAGCATGGGGTCCCATCGGTTCGACTGCCTTGCTTTCCGGATGCCACGTGGTGGCGCTGTTGTAACTTAGCCCAGCATGGTCCAAAGCCCCAGATGCTGGGAGGTCACCTCGGTGCTGTCCAGCCCTGGGTTCTCGAGGGAGGATGGTCCCGGGCTCCTAGCGTGAAGCTTAAGCCAGGGCAGCACCTCCTGCTGCCCCACAGTGTCCAGCCCAGCGTGGCTGCCGAGTCTGCACTGCTCCTGCCCCGCCCGCCTTGGGTACCAACAGCCAGGCATTGGGCAGAGGTTTCCTTGTGGGCCTTCAGAACATGAGCGATTTGTCAGACAGCCTTTCCCCAAATAATGGGGCTATCAGTATTAGGTTGTACTAGAGGATATTACTGTTTTTGTAGGTCAAAAATTGTTGGATGTTGGCGGTTTCCTGTCCTTGGGCATCACCCCTGCTCCTCCTCCAGAGGAAGGCCCCGGGTGGCATTTCGGAGATGACTGGCTTTTCTCAGGGAGTGGCCCTGAGGGGTCCCTAGGTCAAGTCCTGGCACCTTTGTCACTGAGGGAGGGAGAGTGGAAACCCCACAGCCTGCAGTCTGAGCCCTTTTCCAGCCGTACTCAGCCTCGACCGTGCACCAGAGTCGCCTGCCAGGCCGGTTAGAACATGGGTCGCTGGGCCTCACCTGCAGGGCCGATTCCCCAGCTCTGGGGCGAGGCCTGAGGATGAGCATTTCTGCCAACTTCCCGGGTACCAGTGCTGTGGTCCAGGGACCACACTCTGAGGGCCGCTGCGTGAATGCCCCATGGCAGCTGTGTGACTGCTATGGCTCTGTGCTGCGGGGGTTCAGACGAGGCCTTTCTGGGGGCTGGACAGGGAGAGTCTCCTGGCCGGGGTGGGGAACTTGGTGAAAGGGGCAGGCCATGGGGGCCATTCCAGGTAGGGGAAGAATTCCTGAGTCGGACCCCGCTAGGGCTGAGCAGGCGGTGAGCAGGGACTGAGGTGGGCAGTCCCTAGAAACAAGACCAGAGGAGTGAGGCCAGGTTGGGGAGTCTGTGGGTCAGGTGAGGGTCTGAGAGTTCGCCTTGTGGTAAAAGGAAGCGAGGAGAGTGCTTTGTGGTTGGTTGGTTTGTTTGCTTTTAAACAAGGGCTTATGCATTGCCAGGGAAGAGATCAGAAGATAAATTTAGGGGCACCTCATTGGTGCCCTGGAGGGGTGGAGCCTGGAAGGGGCAGGAAGGGCTGTCTTTGCCGCAGAGGGCAGAGGGTGGTGGCCAGGAAGCAATCCCAAGGGAGAAGCCAGGAACCCGGTGACTGCCTGGGTGTGGGCAGAAAAGGTGGAGTCTAAGACGATGCTACCGTTCTGGACCAAGAACCCCCAAAATATCCCACATTAGACACTGGGACAGCCAAAGCAAGTGAGGGCTGCTGTGGGGGAACTGTGATCAGTTTGAGGGAGGTTGAAGGAAAGACCCTGCCTCACCTGCTGGGAGCCCTGCCCAGCCCGCCTTTCGGCAGCTCCTGGCAGCAGGCGGGGTGACAGTTTAGTGGGACGATTGCGGTGGGTTATAGCCCTAAGTCCTATGATGTCCTCGTGGCGGTTGCAAGTATTTGTGCAGGTTATTCTCAGCTAGGTCAGCTCACTCCAGTGCTCTTATTTTTGTGCCTTTATATTTAGGCTGGGAGTGATGGCTCATGCCTGTAATTTTAGCACTTTGGGGTGCTGAGGTGGGAGGACTTCTTGAGGCCAGGAGACCAGGCTGAACAAGATAGCAAGACCCAATCTCAACAAAAAAGAGAAAAAATTAGCGAGGTGGGGCGTTGTACACCTATAGTCCCAGCTACTGGGGAGGCTGAGGCAGGAGGATCGCTTTAGCCCAGGAGTTCGAGGTTTGCAGTGAGCTATGATGATGCCATTGTACTCCAGCCTGGATGATAGAGCAAGACCTTGTCTCAAAAACTAAAATGAAAAACAAAACTGTATTTAAGTATAGGAACATACGGGGTTGGGGTGAACAAGAGTAAATGAAATCACATGATTGGTCTCCCAGTGTCCCCGA